ACTGCTGTGAGTAACTCTCGGGTGAAAGCAGCGGTCATTCAACAGCAGGCGCTCAGAGGGACGGACAGTACAGGCCTGCACATGGACAGGCTCTTAAACTAAGAATATGAGACAAAATCATCTGAATCGTAACTATGAGTTATGTTATTACGAATGGATTGCTTTGTTTTCTCCTCTATTTAGAAAAGTGAACCTAGAGTAGATAGTTGATAGATACTACAAATGTTCAAGACAGGGTATTAATTGTGTCTTAAATTGTATTTCAGAAGCAGAATGTCAAATTTGTATGTTCCAGGCATGAAATAGCTAATATCATGCTTAAAGGAAAACACAACTTGACTACCAGGGGACAAACTGTCCAGCAGAGACCGGGGTTCTTTAAATAAGGGCTTGTACATGTTAACATGAAGTCTTGTGATATAAATCGTGGCACATGTTTTCATGAGTAGTCCACATTTAAAAAAAAAACTTTTGCTGATAATTTACTCACCCCTGTGTCATCCAAGTTATCCATGTCCTTCTTCAGTCGAAAAGAAATTAAGGTTTTTGATGAAAACATTATAGCAAACATTCTCCATATAATGGAATACAATGGGAACCAAACGGTTCAAGGTCCAAATGAGAGTTTCAGTGCAGCTTCAAAGGGCTTTAAATGACACCAGACGATGAATAAGGGTCTTATCTAGCGAAACGATCGGTCATTTCAAAAATAAATAAAAAAGTTTAAGTTTTATAAGCACAAATGCTCGCCTTGCTCTGTTCTGTGATGAGCGTTCGTGAATCTCCTGTTCAAACTCGTTCATCAAAATGAACAAATCTTTTTTCGAGTCATGACTCGAAGGGTCCTAGATAAGACCCTTATTCATCATCTGGTGTCGTTTAAAGCCCTTAAAGCTGCAATGAAACTCTCATTTGGACCTTGAACCGTTTGGTTCCCAATGAAGTCCACTATATGGAGAAAATCCTCGAATGTTTCCATCAAAAACCTTAATTTCTTTTCGACTGAAGAAAGAATGACATGGACATCTTGGATGACATGGGCGTGAGTAAATTATCATCAAAAGTTCTTTTAAAAGTGAACAACTCCTTTAACTAATGCTAACTAATGGGACCTTATTGTAAAATGTTACCAGAAAAAAATATTGTCATCGTCATATATTTAAAGGTATACTTAATGTAAAAATAAAAATGCGCTCATCGCTATCTCGCCACTTAATGACTTTCTTCCGAAGAATATTAATATAATATAAATATTAAATTCAGAAAGTTTTCTGTGATGGGTAGATTTCTGATATAATATAGGGTTAGGGTTACCCCTTAAATTTGCACAGTATAAAAACCATTACGTAGGACCAAAGCAACATTATGTTTAATGGACAAAAGGCACTTTGGACAAAAAGCATATTAAATGATGAGTTTTTCCATTTTCGGGTGAAATATCCCTTTACGGAGAGAGAATGCTGTACGTTTGCCAACAATTTCATATACTAAAGCCAGTGGTCGCGTTAACCGAGTTTTCGGTCCGAATTTTGATGTGAGAATCTGAAGTCTGTAATTTGTATCTAACTTGTAACTGTAATTCTCAGCCCTGTCCAGTTGGTGGCGAGCACTGAAGATGATGGACAATGTTTATCGTTTACCGTCACAGAGGCAAGTGTCCAGTTTAAATCCATGCGGGCCAGGAGGAATGTTTGAGTTCAAGCAGATACAGAAATTTAACTGAGTTTACTTCAGTTTGTTTTTTCATGTTTTCTTCGTATTTTAATCATAACTCTATTTTGTAATATTGCATTGGTCATGTTTTAGTGGCCTCTGCTGTCAAAGAATCTGCTTTGTGTGGACATGAAAAGTGATCTGTTAATCTGTTCTCTTCATAGATAAATAAATGCATAGTCTAGCCTATATACTCGTCCTGTAATTTCATAAAAACAAAAGCTGTATTGTCTTATTATGATATAAAAATTCAAATGACGGGTAATAATAGACTATGGCGGAATGAGAAAGTCTAAACCACTGACTAAAGCATATCAATATTGGTTTGTTTTACAATTGGAATGTAACAGAATGAGGCTTTTCACTTGTGTCCAGCTCATGAAATATGTGTGGGCGAGCTGCAGAGAGAGATTTCCTTTTCTTGGAGCTAAAAAGTGGGCCACGTTGAAGAAGAGAGTGCATAATCCCACACTTGAGTATCCTAAATATGACCAAGTTTATAAAACTAGTGCTTTGATATGGCCACCATCCCATTAACAAGACGACAACCCACCACGAGCGTTCAGCATTAAGACGGCAGTCATCAATTTCCTTCCCAGAGCCAAATCCAGCTTGTAGCTGAGAGATGTGGCTAATCATAACCAAATCTCCTCAGGCAGTTCTCTTGTTACAGCCTTTTAAATCATGCGCTATTTTCCTGAGGTAAATTATCCATGTCAGTCAGAATGAGAAATACACTGGCTTTTTGGTCTGGCTAAAAATCCTTCATATGCATCTGTGAAATAAGTCCTTCCCTCTGTGCATGTCAATCACCAGCTGTTATTCTTGTCCTGTGTCATGCAGTTTTGCCCGAGAGCTCTTTCGGATCAATGATATTGAGCCACCGGCATATTCTGGACCGCCACCTCCATACAGCTGTGACCTCCACACAGGGGGATGGGAAAATCAGGATCGCATATATCGCTCATCACTAAATTACTAAATATCTTTTGTAAAACACATTTTGGAGGAGAAGCACGCCACACAACAGAAAGCACCCACTTGTCACTCCTCATGGGTGATATGTAGGTCTCCCTCTACAAAAAGAACTCTTCAAAATACCTGCATTTACAGGCTTTCAATCTAGGCTGAGCCATTAGGGACAGAAGAAGAAACATTTTTTTACACAAAACTTCACCCATCAGACCTGACATATTTCTGAATCATACTCTGTCCTGAGAGACCCCTTACAGACCTCTTTCACATCACTGTCAAAGATGTATGGTCACTTTAAGCTTGATGATGGACAGAAACACTGTCTGTATGTGAATGGTGGGCTGCGGTCTCATTGCAAGGCAAACGGTATATTATTTATGTTGCACCACACAAGTTAGTTCACTGGAAACTTAAGAGAAGAAACTGCAAAGTCATAGTGAGCACTCATTGATCTTTGGAAAATAAACCATGGCACAAGATTCTCGTTTTATTGATGTGCTTGGAAAAATCAAAACGATATATAGTTCATTCATGGCCTCTGTGTGCTACAATATGCTAGCACATGCAGCTTATGAAAGCATACTGAAGCAAATTTTTTAACATTTGTTAATTAAAATTGTATTTTTATTAATAACTACTAAGTAAACCATTATTTTTCACTATTAAAGATAGTATTATTTTTCATTGCATCTTATTAGTAACTATCCCAATGGTTAGATTTTATAGTATACTGTAAAAAAAAAATATTTTAATGATTTGTAATCACGCCATTTTTTCTTTTGTCAAATCAACTTAGATAATTTACAAAGTATATAGTTCAGAAATCATAATAGTCTGAGTTTCCGGTGATTAAATTAATCTCCTTCATTGTATTAACTCAATTTTTCCATTTCAATGAACTTAAAATTAAGGCAACCCAGTTACTTTTTTTAAGTTAAACCAACAATATTTTTTTACAGTGTACTTATTTATTAGATACTTATTACTTTTTTTTTTACTTGTCATGTAAAATGAACGTTATAAATGGCACAAATATCTTACTATTGTAATTAACATGTGACAAGAAACAACTGAAATACCAATGGTTGAATAGTAACATGTACTTAAACAATATTTAATAGTAAAACTGTAATTGGTACAGCAACAATTGAAATACATATTTGGAAGTAAAGTTGATATCTGAATCACCGTAAAATTCACAAAATTTTGTTATTTGTTAACCATAACAATGGAATAGTTAGTACTTGGGACAGTGACTAGAAACAAAAGAATAAGAACTAGACGATCTAAAAAATATAAAATAAAAATTACAACAAAAATCACCTTACGTTATTAGATTACTTAGTAGTATAGTTGCTTAATAGTAGTTAATATAAAGCACAATTAACGTCAAAACCAATTTGGAAGAAATTCATCTGATAACGGTCTCAATTAGCATATTTCTATTCTCTCTCTTTTTTTTTTTTTACCATACAGCACCATGGACAGCGGCCATCTCAACGCGTTATAAGAGCCTCTGACAGCAGGCCTGTGGAAAACATTTCCTGACACAGTAGTAGCACCTTCTAGATGCATCACAACATTGAGAAAAGATGCAGTGGTGGATTTTTTTCCCCCCACTGTTAGAGTGATATGAGTTACCACGTCAAGTAACCTATACACAACGTGCTTTCGAGGAATATCCCGTCAAAAAGAAAAACGATGGGATGAACCTATTGCTTATTATAAAATAATACGCGGCGTGCAAACAGGTGACACAAAAACAGTTGCTGTTGGCTGCATGTTCCCTGCGTCCTGAGTGGAGTTTTTAAGCCTCCACTCCCAGTGCAGTTGTTCTGAAGGCCCATTACACAAGCGCAGACCAGCAACTTTCTATTCCCAACAGAGCGATGAGCTGTAGGTCCTGACGGCCACGTTTGAAGATATTCTGAGTCATTCTGACTTTCTGCACCTTTTCGTTTACGCACATACAAGCCTTACTTGGCTATGGGCCCTGTGTAATGGTGACGCCATGACCACAATATCAGTTTATTGCAATTTTGTCTTATAAGGAAATAATTCTGGATCCTACAAATGAGCAAGGAGCGCGCGTGTGCCTACAGCGTATGTCTTTGCATATGCCTGATGATACCATGAAAAAACCTTTGAGCGCTTTATTCCTGCCCAATATTGCTGCAGAGACGCCCCCACAAGCCCCCATCTGTTACCAAACATTTGGATGTCATCCGCACTACACATAAGCATACAAGCGATGCCGACGGCCAAGTCGATTCGCAAGCCCCTGCACAAACATTTTGTGGGCATAAACTTACCGCAGTCTTCACACAAGATCCTCCCCACATCTTTTTTCAGGTTCTTCCCACTTGTATCTAAGGGCGCAAACGACGCTTTAAAAACCAAGGGTTCATCAGTTGGGTCCATGAAAAATATATACTTGTGATTCTTCTTCACTTTAGCGCACGGAGCCTCCGAGCCAAATTCCCCCACGGTGACGAGCTGCTCCCGCTCCAGACCCCCGCTGTTCCGCGGCCACACGTCCAGGACTTTGACATTCACACTGTACGGCTCCGCTGAGACGTTCTGAGGCGCGGACTGCACCTTGCCCTCAATCACCACGGCGGATCTGTAAGCCTGGTCCTGCAGGGAATTCAGACTCGGGGAGTAGCAGGCGAAGGAGACCCCGATGAGCAGCATGGATAAGTGTACCGAATCAAGCCTCCTCATGCCGCCTGCTTTGGCTCGATGGTCGGTGGTCGCGTTGCGGCAGGGCTGCGGGGCGATGGCGGTGGAGCTGGGTTGAAGGCTGAAGAGACTGCGAATAGGCTCCAGTAGCACGGCGGCGCGGCAGAACTTGCGTAAGTGTCCATGCCATCGGGATCCGCTGCTTTTTTCCGATAGATTTGCAATCGGGAAACACCAGCTGGGAACCGGAAACGGCGTAATGCTTCTGGGTTAATACAGATCCCTCAACTGCATTTTGCCGAAGCGCATCCTAAAATGCAGGTAAAGTCGTGGACGCTGCCTCCGAAGGAAGAAGACACGAGCAGGTATCCGCAAGACGCCGCCAGTCAATCTTTGCCCCGAAATTGCAGTGGTGAGCGCCCTACTCGCCACTGGTGCTGTGCATCTTCCACTGCAGTCGAATGTGAAATACTGCAGTAAACTATTAGGGCTACTTTCGATATCCCCTCAGCACAAACGTTGTAAGAATCCACTTTCCAAGCGATAAAACGCGTTTGCCGTATCCCTCGCGCCCCGTCCCTGTCCGCCACCCCGATCTATCAGGGCAAGATTCCCCGCACAAACGGCAGATTCACGGCTGGGGTGCTGAAACGAACGCCCATGCGCCGGCGTGTGCGTCTTTAGTCTCCGACACCCCGAGAAAAATGGTCAATCCATGATCTCTCCCATCGCCAATCCTCATCGAATAAAAAAAAGAGGAGTTTTTTTTTTCTTCTTAGGTTTGTGCTGCTTTGAGTGCGATGTCTAACAGTGCGAATGGATGAGCTTTGAATGAGTTTTGAGTCTCATTCCATTACCAAATCATGCCCTGCATTCAGGTCACATTCGTTGCTCTGCCTCAGAGAAGAAGAAAAAAATTATAGTGAGGCGTTGCATCAAATCTATAGGCTACGTCTGGTATTCGTTGCATTGTTGATGCCTGGCAGAAGGAAAACCTTTTTAACAAATAAAAGGAAGAAACATCACGGATGAAGCAGCAGACTGCATCAAACACAAAATATGTGAATAAAACCGTAAAAGATTTATAGACACATACTGTGGTGTAGCCTATATGAATGGTAAAAAGACACACGATGTTTAAAAGGAGATGATAAAGATCAAAAGACTTTCACCGGCTGTATAAAATAACCTAAATTCTGAACTAAATGAAGTGCTGAACCTGTGGAACGTAGCTCCAAATTCACTAAGGGCGACATCTGCTGTACGCACAGAGCGTCACAGCCACAACCCTTTTCTAACATGCAAGATGACTGGGAAACATGGGTCAGAAATAGCGCAAATTGGGGTCCTTCAAACTTATCAGGCCTACTTAGTCAATTGTAATTAACGAAAAGTATTGGTAGTAGGACCAGTGTCCCTTGGAGTAACATGGGGTTTTGCTCAATGCACATTGGTAATAGTTCATGAATTGCCCCTTGCTGAGTTTTTACTGCTCATATGATATTGCTTTCTTCAAGGCTAAATTTTAATAAAGCTATACTGTTCATTGCCTTACTGTCAAGTGATTTAAGATAGGCCTATACATCATTATATTTTATGAATTCTATCAGACAAAGAACGTCTTTAAGTGTTAAAGATGTATATTGTGCAATCTCACGTTAAAGCTGCAGTCCGGCGTTTTTCCCCTTTGTCGCCATCTCTGTTCGAGATCTGCAATTGCAGTCATTCGCGGAATTATCAACTTTACGCGAGTTGTACTTCAACACCCTCGACACGGCACAGCGCGGATGAACACAATGTTTGAGGAGACTGTTCAGCTGTCAGTCACCGCTGGTGTGGATCCTGGCATTCAGAATCACAGCTTATTCTTTTTGGAAGTAGCCTATGACCAACATAATAATTTTCTTTCACTTCACAATTTCCTTGCATGAACTTTCACTTTAAAGCATATTTCATATCTTGAAAGAGCATGTTTGCGTTATTCTTTATAGACTTGTGATAAAAATAACAAGGACTATGTTTTTCAGTCAAAGAGCGAAAGACGAACATGTTATTTTCTTTTGTTGTGATGTTCCGAAAATGCCTTATAGTACACAGTAGCTTAATAAAATAGCCTAAGAGTTCGACACAAACCGCACCATTTTCAAAAGAACCATGAAATCAATAGGCTATTAACACGTCTAGATCACTTCTTTTGTTTAAGTAATGTGAAGGTTGAGTACTGGAGTTACAAATCTCGTTATTAATTGTTAGTTAATTTTACACAGGCATACTACCAACTTGCAAAGAACAACATTCAAAACCGATAGATCAGAAACGCAGCGATGCGCGTGACGGACACAGCGGTTACTGTCCATGGTTCTGAAACTGCGCTGCCCTCGACCTCTACCGATGAAACTAGCCTACTCTAGCCTACATATTGCTAAATATAAGTTTAACGAAATTATTCATAAAAGCCATAAAAACACTTACAACTTAGGCCTGAAATGAGTTAAGACAATCCACGTGTCCTCAACATACAGGCACCTATATGTCTATAAATCGTTTGACCATATCAAACATGATAAACATCTCAATCACGCTTTTTTAAACACTAAAAAAATTTGAATAAATCATTTTAATCTCCACTTGCAACACCCTTAAAATTAAAAAAAAGATAGTTAAATGGTTCATTGAAGCACTGAGTATAGCTTTTAATACACGACCCTCTTTCAGATTCGGAGTTGCTTATATGTTTCAGGTTACAAACAAATTAGTTCTTGGCATCATTCGTTGACAATACAAGCCCTTCTGAGTTATTTGAAACCTATTATGTTAGAATGATATGGTAAAACCAACTTTTTAGGAGGCTATAGGATAAAGAACTGTGACATTTAGGGAAGATAATGAAACACAATCCAGTAAAAATGTTATTATGACACTGGTTTTCGATTCTACAACCACTTCTAGCTCAGCGAATCCACCCATAACATGTAAAATACATGTGAACAACACATGAAAAAGTTTGCCAGATTCATCTGCAATTTCGCGAAAGCAACACTGCGAGGCGCACGAGCTGTTTGATTTCCTCCAGCTGAGCGTGCTGACATCAGACTCCACGCGCACAGCGTTGAGCCCGTGCGTGCGTCCGTCTCCATGCCACGACTCGCTCTTTCGTTCCATCTTGTGAACGGCGCATCGGTTCCACACCGCGACAGTGTTTACAGTAGGCCTTCGGGGCTTACAGGTTTTCATCTTTGTTTTTGACAGTGTTCAACTGCGAAGGGCTTGCACAGGGGCTAACGCTCTGCCTGCAGACTGAGCGGGGTAAGATATGCCGAGACACGTCGCTCGTTATGAGGTCTGCGACTTTGGCAACAGCACTGCACTTACGATCTATGTCATGGTATTCCTCGGTATACCTTTTTTTCTGGTCAGTATAAGAACCACGGAATTAATATCCGCAGGCGTGGGCAGATTGTACTACAGACAGCTTGCGCAAAGTCGTTAACTGTTTACAGTGCTGACAGACTGCGAGGCTGACACACTCTGTCGGTTGCGGCAAATCCAATGCCATTTAATGTGACTGTGATTTACCGTTATGAGTTCAAGCTTGCAGAGTTCACCTTCGACCAAAAGCAAGCACACCTTTGAGTGAACGCTCATGAGTTGAGTCGACGGTCCTTCTTTCCTTCACTCAGTGTCTTTTTTACGCATTGTCACTTATGTTAGGCCCATGACAAGCAGTTTACACGTGCACTAGAAGTTTCAAGTAAGAATAACGGGATACGATATTCTTCATTCTAGCAAGCAACAGGCCACACTAAGTTAGTGACAACTAACTTTTTGAATGGTTTGCCATGAGCTAATACAACTGTCTTTTAATAATGGGAAAAATGAGTAAAAATGCCTATTATTTAGATGCTTTGTATTTTGGTGTATATTTATTTTAAATATAGGCCTACTGAATGACAAACAAAATACATGCACTTTATTTATTAAAGCATGTGATAGAGTAGACAAATGTGAAAGCAATTGAATACGTGAAGTAGGCCTAAACCCATAATCTTTCAATTAACTGCCGGAGCAAGAAGCCGCTCACCTTGCTTCTTTATCAGCTGTTTTGACTTCCCTCCACCCCCCAACTCCAAAAATATCATTTAGGCTACCAGACTCATCTTCCAATCATTAATAGGAGTATATATATATATGTATCTATAGTTGAAGCTGCTTCCTTGAGCCCCTCTAATGTAATGTGTTTAACCTTAATAGCATAAAGATTATGCATAAATTTTCAACGTGAATGCTGCTTGTATTCGGCGTGTGCTCGGTGTTTAGATTATATGAAACATTAAACATTGGAGAGGAAAATCATGTTGCAATGCACATGTAAATATTGCATTAATGAATGCCACTTCAAGTACTCCAGAGTATCTTTCTCAATGCGTTCTTTATTGTTAGAGGAAAATTGCATGCAAACAGTTTTTTATTTGTTTACAAACAATGTCTGCATGGAAAACACGTCAGGTTCTGGACATTTATAATAATGTTGGTAATGAGGTCTCATTTGTTAACATATTAATGCATTTAACTAACATGAACTAAAGTGAGCAATTTTTACAGAATGTATTGTTAATTTTCATCTTTTGCATTAACTAATGTGAACAGATACAATTTTTGATTTTAATAATGTGTAAGATTAACATTTATAAGATTTCTAAATGCTGCAGATGTATGGTTGATTGTTAGCCACTAATGTTAACTTATTGTAAAGAGGTAGCCTACTAAAATATTGTTTGGGTAATCTATGTTGTCCTTATATCTATTCACTCATATTTCCAAGGCATAAAGTGAGTATATTTATCTAAATTGTACCTCTTTAAAAGGAGATTATATAGGCTATATCTCATTTTAATCTACGTTATTACAATGCAGACTTGTCATCTTCGAAATATTTTAACATTTGGTTCTTTCTTAAATGAAGACTTAGGCCTATAGATCGCATTTTTGAGATTGCAACTTTAAGATTAAAATAATATCAAAATACAAGAAAATGTAATTGTTCATTAAAGATGACGTGATCAGAACAGAACATTTACGATTATACGCATTAAAATATTCAGTCTTGCAAGACGTTCTGTGTCAAAACCGACACAAATCTATCTCAGTTTGACTTATTGTTAACGAACACGCCGATTAATTATTTTAGAGATGTATTTTAAAAAATGTTTTCTTAATTATTAAAGAGAATC